TGTGTGTGTGTGTGTGTGTGTGTGTGTGTGTGTGTGTGTGTGTGTGTGTCTTTAGCTTCTGGACTATTAGGGAGGCAGGGCAGAATGATGGACAATTTTATCTATTCTTCAACATTTTATTGGTTAAAGGATAAAATGGTTTGTCAAGGACGCAACCAATAAGTAACCACTAATGAAACTGGAGCTTCAGTCAATGATAATTGGCAGTATTAGTCTACCAGCTCCACTAACTGATTTTTTAGTGCAGAAAATTAAAATAAAAAAATGCATTACAAAATAGTTTCTCAGAAAACCTGTCCTAAGTTAATATGTTGTTTAGCACATAATAATAAACCATAAAACAGAGGTACAAGGTACAATTTTCCTTTTATTAATGTTTCCAAATTCCTGCATGGAGAAGCAACAGGTTTAATCTGCTTATTTAAAGCTAAATTTGACCTTAAATCTACCCCTGTAACCTGGCCGTATTTCTTCTCATGCAGAGCCCACACTTGTTTCAGTCAGTAGGCTGTCTACACATAGTCTACACATTGGAAGAAACCCCACACGGGCCCTGGCACAGCCTGGCTCCCCGGGATCCCCTTCATCAGCACCACCCGACCTCACCTTCAAACTCCGTATCTCGTTCAGGTGTTGTTGGAGTCTCCGGTTCACCTCCCGCATCAGATTGCCGTGCTCCACGATGACGCCCCTTTTTTCTGCTTCTGCCCTCCGCAGCCGCCTCACCAGCTCCTCTTTACCCCACTTCAGCAGCTCCTCATCGGGTATTTTGGAGATGTCCTCTGCTGGTCTCTCTGCGCTTTTGGACTGCTGCTGTGCGCTTTTCTCCATCCCTTTAAACTCCGGTGAAGGTAGACCGGGAGGTAAAACAAAGTGTTGTGTCTGATGAATTTCAGAGCAACCAAATCGAAGCTTTCAAATGCACAACTCTGGTCCAAACGTAACTCGGGTTCCCCCCACCCACCCTTCTTATATCTGTGGAATCACATCGCTGTCATTGCGCCTCTTTCCCACGCCCATGCTGCAGCTCTGATATCCACCCGGTGCTCTGCTGCTATATCACTGTCGTTAGAGCATCGTTCCGCATCCTGCTGCGTCTCTGGTTAAGCCCTTGGCCGGCTTGGCGGGGCGGTTTCTCTCCAGGTGCATGCCGACCGCTTTGCGCACTCCCGCTGCTGAGCGCGCACTACCTCAGTCCGACCGCCGGGCGGAGGGCGGAAAAAAGAGGAGGATGATAAGAAGGGGGGCTCCAAGGAGAGGTTGCAGGTGCATAGCCGAAGAGCCAGGATGATAAGGTGTGATAGTGTGGAGAGCCTCTCTCGTTCTACCATCACTCGCTTACTCGCTCTCTCCTTGTGCCTCTTGGTTTGTTACGCCATCTGCTGGAGTTAGATGTGAACAGTGCTGCACTCTGATTGTTCAAAGTGACGGGCTGCTTCTATTTTTAGGTTCGTTTATAATCAGGGCAGATAGCACTGATCATGGTTTGCTCTGATATTTATGGAAGCGTGACCTCTCTTCTTAAGGATAGCAATCACTAAAAGGGGAAGAGTCAATCCTCATTTCCAAAAAGTGTCACTGCCAGATTGTAAGCTAAAAATACAACTCCCAGGAGCATTTCCAGGATTTTTATAAATGAGATGATACCAAAACCGGTCAGGAGAGGGCCAAGGAAAATAGAAAAAATCGATATAAATAAATACAGTAAAAAGAACGCACACCCTCTTTCATTTCCAAGGTATTACATATCAGGAGATAATAAAACATAGTGTCATGTGTATTAATTAATCTAACCTCAGATGAATAACAAAACACGATATTTTACACAATGTCATTATTTATTTGACAAAAATTAAACTAAAATGCAGAAGCAGCATGTATTTACACATGATTACTGTGACACTATATCTATGAAGAAATACACTCATGTAGAGAGGTCTGGTATGTTTTAGGTGTTTTGTTTTTGCTTGAGGCCTCCCAGCTGAGACAGGTGAAAGTCTGACGTGGAACAGAAATAAAGATTAGCTGTTTGATAGTGACAGATTGATGCTGTTTTGATTTATTATTATTAAGAAGAATAAGAAGAATGAAAGGCACTCATGGAGAGGCATTTAAAAATCACAGTATGGATAAAATAAAAGTTGGAAACACTATAGATATCACGTGACTATGGCTTTTTGAGGTTTTGGTGTATTTCACCCCAGTTTCAACAGATGGCTTACCGCTGCTTCTAGGTTTGATTGAGAGAGTGTAGAAAAAACCTGATGAGTCAGCAGCATCACTACGAGTTTAAGTGGCAACAACAACAATGCACTCAGACAATTTGTGGGAACTTTTTGACAGTGTAAACCACAAGACCCACAGTGCAACTGCTGATGGTGCTGTAGTGGACAAAAAATATCTCACTAATACATTTGTTCCAAGGGCACATGAGCCAATCATGTGTTGCCTTTACATTTTTGCAAATAATACCTATGGATAACCATAAGGGTCACACTATGATTAGATATTTTTTGCATTTGGAGTAGTTATTCATTAAGAAAGGAAGCACTCTCCACCCAAAACAGTTGAAAAAAATATTATTTTCATATAAAAATCTTTATATCCATTGCTACTCAATTTCCCCATATTCTTTTTCCATGAGCATGGTGGTCATTTACTACTTTCTATTGTTGACTAAACATCTTTCATAAAGATTATAGCTCTATACTTAGCCTATCCACAAAGCAGGTGACATTTATCCATCCATCCATCCATTCGCTACC